TTAAGTGCACCATCAGGGGAAATGTATGATCGTTACCGCCTGTTAAGTTCTGGTGACCTTCATAATTTTTATATTGCTTTTTCTGGAGATAATAATTACGAGGGACTGTGTAGTGTAATGAACCAGCTGCAGCGTGAGCCCTTTGTAATCAACAGTGATTGGTTGAAATTTCTACAAAATAATGAGAAGTTATTTGTGGATAATGGTTATCTCATGCCAGAATTTCTTGCCTCAATGAATCTCCTAGAGGTATCAACCATACTTAGAGGTTGTCACATGCAGGATGAGGTTATTAAAAAATTATTTAGCTTTAGCGATTTGTTAAATACTTTATGTAAAAACATACAGCGTTCTCGTTATGAGAGATTGATTATCAAGCTGGCTAATGCCTACGATGGTTATAAATTTTATTTGCCAGCTTTTCTCGACTTCCGAGGTCGAATCTACCGCTGTGGGGTCTTGCATTTCCACGAGCGTGATCTAGCAAGAAGCATGATCCTCTTTGCGGATCGCGAATCTAGTAACAATATGAACGAGACTTTAACAAGATTTTTGCAATCAATGGCCTTCCATTACCAGTCTTTCGTCTCTGACGATGAAGCATACAAATGGTCTCATAAATACCTATTGAATTTATCGTCTAAAAATCAAATAATCGAGGATGCTCGGGATGCAAGACGCCCCTTTCAGTTCCTCGCCTATATAATAGGATATAATTTTGCTGTCCAAAACAACCTGAGCATACTGGCTACCTTCCCTATTACGCAAGACGCCTCAGCTAGTGCATATCAGATCATGAGTTACTTTATGTTGGATAATACCATGGCTAAGAGAACTAATCTCATCCCATCAGTTGATGATAAAATCCAAGATGTTTATACATTCTTCCTCGAAGAGCTCAAGGAGTTCATGATAGCAGAACTTGAGAATAAGAATCTATCAACGATTGTTTGCGAGCTCCTCACTCGTAAGCTAGTCAAAGGTATCTTTATGCCACTTATATATGGGAAAACATTAATGAGCACAGCCAGCGATCTAAAAGACAATCTCTCTCACTACATCACTCATAAGGAATGCTTCGAAGTTGCCTCTGTCTGCTTTAAGTTCTGGAGGATGAAATATAAGGGTATGGAATGCCTGATCCGGTTGATCCGCAATATTGGCTGGG